AAGGACAAGGCAATACACAGTTTATTATTTTTCCCCACATGAGGAACTTGACCACTTCAGTGCTCATGTTTTGTGTTATGGTGGGGAGAGGAAGTAATTCCAAAATGCAGGCTTTTCTCCTCCTCTTCTTGTGGCAAAGGACTCAGTAAGCTATACACCAGCACAGAGTGTGATGAGGAGCAGTGTCAAGTTTGGGTGCTATCAATTGCCTCAGCCATTGATGAGAAGTTCCCAGCTCAAAGCATGGAAATAAGCAGACTCCAAATGGTCACCAACACACTCCTGAAACCAGATAAGGGATTTGTCTTTTTCCCTGTGTCCTGAGTCTGTTCTGCATCTAGGCCACCTCTTGGCCTGCTGCAAGGCCGGCCTAGCCCATGTTCCCACACACTGGTGCAGCTCCAGCTGTTCAGGGAGCAGAGGCCTCCTGCTGCCAGAGCACGCTTGTGGTGGTGCCTCAGCCCAGCCTGGCTGAGGCCAGACCAGCAGATCCACAGGAACAGGCTCAGGCCCAGCAGAGCCAAGTCCCAGTCTGGCAGTCCTACTTGCCTGCAAGCACCCTGACTTACAGAGCCATGCAGGGACAGCCTGGCCTCGTGCCAAAAGGACTTCATTTATCACCTGAAGGGCTGCCACATGTCAGTAAAATCTGCTGCTGCCTTTGGGGAAGGGATGAAGATTGATCAGAGACGGACTTGAGCCTGATGCTGCTAGCTGATGGACCCTGCCTGCCTGCCATAGCTTGTATACTGTCTGTAAGGTCTGGGAGGAGGTGGCAGAGGCAGGAATTATGGGCTATAAGGAAATGGGAATGCAAAGCCAGCAGAAACCCCTCCAGTCCTTACAGAGAGACCTTGACTGTGTAACTCCCATTAGGAAATTACTACCCAAACACAGCACAAATCCTGCAAGAGCAAACTCCACTTGGGGAAAAAACTCCATGGCTTTAGCAGGCTTGAATCAGCAATTTTCTAGAATGGGTTGGAGCTTGCATCAGACTAATGCAGATTTTATCATTATTTGGGATCTCATAAACCAAAATTAGCAAAGCAGCTGTAAATGCCAAATGTCATAACAAGATGGTGCAACAGTGTTACACCACAAAAAATGTCAACTGCAAGACTAGAAATCAGAGTGCTAAAAACTAAGTTTACCTCAAGTTAAAAGAGGACCAAGAAATCAAAGTTTACCAGAAGAAGATAAAGGAGAAAAATCAGGAAAATGACAATGGATGAAGAGATGGTTACTCATCAATTTTCTTTTCAAACTTCTAAATTTAAAAAAAGGGAGCATTAGTACACATGAAACTGCTGGAAAAGTAATAGTTACCCAAGATGACAAATCCTGTGCAGGTACATGCTCAGCAAATGAAGTAAGCTTTTAAAACTTGATGTGCAATCCACAAAGAAAAAGCATTAGGTTCTCTGAACAGCAAAGTTCAACCTACATTTCCATCCATTTTAAACTCTGAAAAAAGGAACCCTCTACACACTAAGTACGGCCAAGTCACCACAGTAAGAACCTGAGAAACAAAGCAATGCTGAAAATCTCACCAATGCACAAACTCCTGCAGCCCAGGTAGAAATTACAACAGTGAGTATTGGTGAGGAGTAGCTGTAAGTGGAAAGGATGGGGAAATTCTGTGGGTTCTAACCAACTTTCACATATACATTACTTAAGTGGACTACTGTTTGTAGTCCACTTTCCTTATTTTTCCTACACCATTCATTAGGCATCATAACTACAAGGCTGGACAGAGAAGAAATCATAGATTTATTAAAAGGATGAAAAAAAGAAAGACGCTGAAAAATGAACTGAATTAACAGTTAAGTGCAAAGCAGTGTCTGCACAAAAAAGCTCAGATTTCAGAGATGCACTGGAGCCCTGCTTGTAGAAGTGGACCAACTTCTTCAAGGCAGATTTCCGTGACATTTTTTGGCTATGAACATGGACAGTAAGGACTGCACAGAAACAGAATCATTCAATATTCGGCCTATTTAGCTTTCCAAAAATAACTGCCTGTACATAGTCATCTTTGAGAAACCATCCCATCAATTAAACTAGACCTCTGCTTTCCTACAGAAATGACCCTGAAAAAAATAGTTACCTTTTTAGTCTTATTATTCTTAACTTACACACACTTATTGTCATGAAACGTAAACTTTAAGGCATTTAGAGATTTTGAGGAGTTAAGATTTTAGCTAGAAATAAGCCTTACTAGAGTTAATTAAAATAAGAATAATAAATGAGTAGGCCTTGATGAAGTTAGGAGTTAGTAGTTAACTAATAATTAATTGCTTGTCAGCACAATGTTTGGTTAGCTGGGTTTATAATGAAGAATATAGAAACTGACAAATAGCTTTTAGGAACATAAGACAATTGTGGGCCTCCTCTGTTCTGAAACCAATTGAAGACAAGGAATGGGAGTTCTACCAAGAGTTCATTTGTCACATTTGCATTGAAAAGGTAGAAAGGTCAGAACGAGGAAGACTTCATTTACTTCCTCATTTTGGGACCCCTCCCCATAAAAGGGACCACCGACCCATTTCAAGGGACAAACTACGCATGCTTAATAGCTTTTGAAGTGATTAGCATACGAAGCGGGGAATGGGATGTACCAAAGTTATGAATATGCATTTGTATTTTGTATATTCAATACTTGTATGGATAAAAAGACTCTGTAATCACCTGGAAGGCGCGGTGTGTATTTGGGAGCTATCCCGCACGCTGCCCGGCGTCGAATAAACATACACTTTCTAACTTTAAACTGTTAGAGAGTTTTTGTCCGTCACAGTTGGATATCGATACTAGATCAATATCCGTATTTCTTTAATAAATCAGTCAGAGCTGAGCTCCCTTCCTCCGGCACACTTCCTTTTTCACTCTTAGTGCTTCCTCACGTGATGCAGCTCCATTACTCACCAGAGATGACACTTTAAAAGGAGATGTCATAGTGACACAAGCATAAGAGCTCCAGTAGGGTGCTAGCAGCACTTGGAATGATTTTAGGGTCATCATTTAGCCAGCTGAGGGCATTGCTGCAGGAGAAGGAATATGACAGAACACGATGCCTGCTGCCAAACCCTGGCATGGTAATTCCAGGTCATGAAAATCTTCTCTCAGACAGATCTAGAACATGGCAGTTTTTCTGAAACAGGAGCAGAACGCTTGGTCCCTACCCCCTTGAACTGCACACCTTGGTGCAGGTGATGATGCACAGTTTGTGCAGACTCGTAGAACTCTGTTTGCCTGTCACCAAAGCTGTTTGCACTCCAAGCCAAACCTCACAGATCCAAACTGTGCATGCAGAACAGCTGGCCTACCATAGAGGAGCTGAACTCCATCCTATACTGCTCAACAAACTGAAGACTTATGACCACATGGAACCAATTTAGACTTTTGTTTCAACTGAGTTCTGTGCATTTCAGCCCTTCCCCTATATCAGTTCACTCTTGTCTTGTGCTCATTTTCCCCAACTTGTGGAAATTTACCATTATTCTGGTTCTAGTAATGCCCAGGTGAATGGCTCTGGAATGTGACTAAACCGTAAGTGTAACCACAGCTGCAGAAGGGTTGCACCTTTGCCCTAAAAATGCCTTGTACATTTGCTTATCTCTCGCTATTTTACAAAGCAAAACCTTTGGTGAGCTAAAATAGCACAGAAAACATTCCTCTTCCTTCTTAATAAAATTTCTAGGTCAAACCTGTAAGCTTAAGAGAGATGTTGCAGAAATTTGACATGTAATTTTGAGCCGTGGTACACTTTATAATTAAAAAAAAGGAGCTGATTTAATCCCAAGGTGATGCCTAAAGAGGCTACCTGGAACAGAGGCTAGACAGAGTTAAATGAAAAGTAGGTATTTATTCAAAGGCCTTCAAAGGCAATACAACACCTTGGCAATACAAGAGCCTGGCTGTGGCTCTGCCCAAGATGGCCCCAAAATGGACACAAGATGGATGATGGGTCACGAGTTTTCAGACTTTTCTAAGTTTTGGCCCATTTCCATATTGGGGTCAAGTGTCCAATTACAGTTTCAGGTTATGAATGCCCATCCTCCCAGACTGCTCTTCTCAATTTGCTGTTGTTTACACTTCTTTGGGCCTGAAGCTACAATAGTCTCCTTAGCTCTTGGGCTGGAAAAAGATTGTTTTGTGTAACTGAACTGTGAGGAGAACTTGCTAACACTTTATATGAAGTTCAGACTTACACACCAAAGCGCTACAGAATCTGAAAAATATGAAAGCTAAAACTTCAGGCATCACAGGCACCAATTTTATTAGTCTAAAAATGCCATAAGAAACAGCAAATTCCCACCCTTCTGGAGAAGTCTCGGGTACAGCAAATATTCTTGTGAGAGATACCCTTGGCATATAATTCAGTGTATGAAAAATGGAAAAACCCAGCTACAGTTCCCTTAAGATCAAGGTACTTACCTCTCTACACTGTTTCTAAAGCAAGGAGACCGACACACCCCACCCTCCAAAATAACTTTATTTTTTGCTTTACATGGTTAGAACACACAAACTCTGAAAATAAAAAGAGCAGAGCTTTCTTCAACTCAGAAGGATGGACTCTCAAACACAAAATACAGTATAAAATAAGCATCTCACTAAAACCAGCACTAATTATTGACATTGGTCAGTCTCATTGTGCAACAGACACTGTCAGCTGAAATTCTTATGCAGATGCCCTGCAGAATCATGAACAATCCTGAAAACAGCCCCTCCTGCACACTGCTCAACACCCCCCCAACACCTGGCACAGAGAGCTCACTGATGGCAGAGCAATGGCTCAAAGGTGAGAACACTGCACACTGCTGCAGGTGATCCATCAGATTATTGCATCCCACAGCAGAATCTGTAAGAAGCACCATGTCATAAAGAAAGAGTCTTACCTGAAGATATTTGCACTTGATTTCTGATCTGCTCTTTGTTAATTTCCATTTCCCCTAAATTTTCTAAACTGATAAATACTGTATGAAGCAATGAAATGTTCCTACCAATATTAGGATGCTTCAGGAGGCGACAGATTCTAGCTTCTCTCTCCAGTTTCTGGTGATCTGCATCAAAAGAAAGCAAAACAGTTGCCGTTAGCACAAATATTAACATAGTTTAATGTATCTGCTTTACACAACCATCACATCATCATCATCTGATGGGATCTTTAAAAAATATCTCCTTTATTTAGATCCACTAAGATTTTCACCTGATTTTTTTTTAACCTTTGGGAAGAGCAGGAGGCTGGAGCTCTGGACTTGTACATCACTGAGCCCTAACAATTTTTTCTGGAGATAAAATACTACTGTTGTGTCAAGTTTTACTTTCTGCAATAGACAACACAAATATTCCAAAATACCAACTTTGGAAAATCGAACTGCTTGAAGTGTAAAAAATAAGCTTTGAACCTTGAAAATATTAAGAAGTGAACAAGTTTAGAACAAGTTGTTTTGGATGGTAACTCTGAAGATTCAAAAATTTAGCATCAGATGTTAGAATTAAGAAGTTCAATCCTTACTGCAAAGTGTCCAGTTAGGCCAAAAAACTATATGTAGGTCAAAAGAATTATAACAACAGATTTCAAATAAAACAGAGAAAGCAAACACCACCTTTAAAATACTTAATGCTTCAAGTTTCTGACAGCATATTTTAAATCTGGAGGAAAGAACAAGAAGGAAAACTTGTTTAATTTTTCTGCAGTTTGTACTTCTTAATATTCACAGCCAACTGTAACAACAACTGAAGCAATTTTACATATGTTAACAGTTCAGATTATTTTCATATGCTTTTAAGAACTGGGATAGTTCTTGAGCTAGTCACTACTTGTTAACTGACCCATCATACTTTCTGAGGCCTAAGAGCCTCCACCACTTGAATGAGAAAATTTGTCAGCTTAACCCCCTTTAACTTAATGTTTACTAAAAAAAAAAAAAAAAAAATCAGAAGTTAAAAGTATTAAAAATAATTATAAATCTGCAACATAAGCTTAAAGCTCTTTTTTTTTTTTTTTAAAGTTAAACTCCAACACTGAGGTTTCCCATTAAGATTTTTGAATTCAGTTGCAGCAAGGCTGAAACATAAGCACAGACATCTACAGTTACAGTACCTCCGTGTCCAGCAGCTCTGGCTGTAACTTAATCGTGGGCTGAGCACTTGGCACATTACCCAGAGCAAGCAGGGAGATGATCTGCAAGGCAAACTGAACTAAGCTGGGGTGAGAACAGAGATGAAAATGTGACCACTGCCTCAAAAGCAAAGAAACAATCCAGGGGCTATCAGACATTTTGTGTAGGAGCTGTGTCTCTGGTGCACTTCCAGCTCTCGTTTCAAAGGCTGTTCTGTACCACCTCCAGCTATATTTCCAGATCAGCCAGCACAGCCAGAAACTTGGAAGGTGTCTGACAGTCTTCTATCAAGTGCTAAAAACATCCTGTGTCGACTCTTCAGGAATAACACAGCTATAATAAAGAACTTCATCTCTGAAGCTGACTATGAAGTATAAACATTTGAAGTTTCTTTGCTATCAACCACTCTATCACAGCTCCTGAACTGACACTAGATGTGATTAATATAATTTATTGATTATAACTGTAATGATTAAAAAAGCACACCTGATATTTTTCAAATCACAGTAAAAATGTCTTGGAGATGCTGCTGGATGCACTGCAACATATGAAGGTAACATCTACACTATCATAAACATCATTATTATTGACTGCATCATATATTCCCAGGTTTTTACTCCAAATTGAACCAGTATATTGATGGACACCAACCAGGTGTTTTCTGCTGTCATGTAATTAGAACAATGAGCTCTCTGCATTTAACTCCTTCAGTTGTTTGTGTCACAGTAAATGCTATCGCACTGCTGGGTGACTGGAGGTACCTCACAGCCTGCACACTGCACTAAGGCAGCAGAAATAGCATTAAATACTTCCTGAGCCAGGGATTAAAGTGGACATTAAGGCCCAGAAGATGACAGCAGCATTTCCAAAGAAAGTATTCCTTAGTGTTGTTAGAGGAGTAAGTCTGCAGTATCTAAGTGTTTGGGGGTGGATCCAAACACAAATTCACCTTCATGCCATATCCAAGAAAACTACTCTCCTCTAAAATCTGCATGTTTGTTTTATGAGTTTTAGGAAATCCTGTTCCTTCCTCTGTCCACTGGGTTTATTTACAAGCACTTGCAACTGCTGTGCCACCCATAGCTATTTGTGTTACCCTGCCTCTTGCCAGGGCTCAAGTGCTGGGGAGCTAAAGGTGAATGTCAGAGGGCAGGGCACACCGAAATACTTTGAGCACTCAGCTCCCAAACATCTGAAGGGTAAGGTGTGCCACTGCAGAGTCCACTGGGAAACAAGAGTCCTGCCACACAGCCAGGGAAACTACCTAGCAGGCACAAACTCCCTCAAACCCTGAGAAAGTTTGGGATAGAATCTGGTGTCAAATGTTTATGCTACAACAGTAACAGCAGAGGAAACGTTGTGTAAAAAATAAATGCAATAAGAGGTCACTCATTGAAATCAAAGAGTTAATGCCTCTCAATTTTGACAGCCTATAATTCACCAGATAAAACTGCATTTACCTGCCAGGTAAACACGAAACAGGAAAAATTATTATCAGGAGCAGGAAGCCAAACTTGAAAACCGCACAGATAATAAAAAGGGAACACACAAGTACATTTATATACTTGTTTCCTTTCCTTTATTTTGATTACCTAGACTCAGTTACAAACAGGTCTCCTACACTGTCTGCTTAAGAAACTGTAATTAATTGAAAAATACAAACTCAGAAAGCAGCAAAGCAAATGCAAAAGAAGGAATGCTCTGCAAATTCTAGATTATTTTATGAAAGCAAGTCTCCATTAGTGAACAATGGCCTCTACCACAGCAACAGCCCATTACCAAGACTGGAAAAAGATGACTGCCTGTCAACCATTGATACCATTGGAAAGAAAGCAGCAATGAGAATAATACCAGTTTATTAATGAAAAAAACCTTGCAGCCACCAACAAGTAGGTTTAATGAGACATGAAGTCAAGAAAAAAGAAAACAACAAGATTTAATGCACTGAACCATGAAAATCTCAGCCTTTACAATAACTAATGAAATTCTGTGAAACCTGAAACAGACAGAATATAGCTGTAAAACTGGGGGTACTTATAGACTGTATAAGCTTAAAATCTTGAACTAGTCCTCATTCATATGATGATGTTCTAATAGACCCAAAGCTAATATTATAATTTATGATACCTGCCTCAGAAAATTAGACTGCCTGCACTGAGTTTCTACTAGGTAGGCAAATAAAATAACTAATTGTTTCAGTAGTATCCATATTTGCTTTCTTACAAAAGCTTACCTGTGTAGACTACACGCATTTCTGGGATTGCATCATAACATCATAATTAAAGACATATAATCTTTGCATTTAATTATGTATTGTATGTCTTAATATATGAAAACATACAATTAATGTCTTCAGCATTTATCTCTTCTACTAACGTACCATGAATTTTCACCCAAAATGGTGATCCTGTGTGACCACCCAAACGGAGCTTAGCACCAGGGCCACCTATCAACAAAGGTATCTAAAATGCAAATGTCTCCAAAGCAAAGGATCTTCCTAACAAGAACATGTAGCAACTTCTGTAGTTGCTTTTTGTTACTTTATTATCAGAGCTTGGAGTCCACAGCAAACAATCTAAAAGCATTTTCCCCATGTCCCTTGCATTGTCTTGTCCATTTCTTATTTTTCCCCCAGGACTGACTGGATAGATTATGAGCCAGTATGAAGTGATGCATGCTTTGGCACATGTCTTGCTTATCTTTTTGAGGATGGTCTCTTGAGCCTGCCTCCTACTCTGTGCAATACAGCTAAACACTTGTATTTCCCATGTTTTTCTTTACACAGCTAAATTAAGAGAAAACAAAGAGCACTAATATGGAAGGGGTTCTTCAGACTGCACTGCAACCCAGAGCAGCCTGATGCTGTTAAATTCTGCCATGGAAACCAGAAAATAACTGCAGAAATTCTGACAACAGAACGCACAGGTTAACAGAACAACAACCTCTCCTCCCCACTACCCTCACTTTCTCAACTTGGTTGACAACTGTCTAGAACACAACAGAGTATCCACAGACTCGTGGGACATAAATATTTGTGATTTAAGGGCATGGTGTGCATAGGAATAGTGCTGTAAAAGACACTTGCTTTAAGCCCAGGACTGTGGTTTATACACAATCTAACTGCATCAAATGCAGTTTCTAAAAGCCCTTTGATGAAGACTTAAGGCTCTTGAAACAGCCCAGTTCTATTTCTTAGAGCTGACCATTTCTGTAAGTTGAATCCACTAGTGGGTGTCCTCGTTTCTGCTAGGATAATTCCCTTCCTAGAGGCTGGTACAGTGCTAAGTTGTGCATTTAGGATGAGAATCATGGTGATCCCACAGCAATGTTTTAGCAGCTGCTGTAAGCAGTGTTTGCACTAAGCAAGCTTCTCACAGCACCCACAGGTTGGAGCTGACCTGCTGGAGAGCAGCTCTGCAGAGACACACCTGTGGGTCTGTGTGGACAACACGAGTCCAAGAGGCAGCAGTGCCCTGGGGGCCAAGGATGCCAATGGAATCCCAGGGTGAATGGGAGGAGTGTGGCCAGCACGATGAGAGGTGATCCTCCCCCTCTGCTCTCACCCTTGGGGCCAAATGTGCACTACTGCCTCCAGATCTGAGCTCTCCAGCTCACGACAGATAACGAAGGACTGGGGAGGGTCCAGCAGAGGCTACAAAGATGATGAGGGGACTGGAGCACCTCTCTCATGAGAAAAGGCTGGGAACTGGGCCTCTTGAGCCAGAGGAAGAAATGACTGAGAGGAATATGACCAACACAGGCAAATTCCCTAAGAGTGGCTGCCAGGAGGATGAGGCCAGACTTTTTCCTGTGGTGCCCAGTGACAGGAAAAGGGGCAACAGGCACAAAATAGAACATGGGAAGAGCCATGTGAATATGAGCAAAAACATCTTTATTGTGTGGGTGACAGTACTGCAAACAGGCTGCTCCGAGAGGCT